TCTCCCTTTGCTAGGATAAACATTGGCTGCACAGGAGCATACCTCTACCTTCCAGGTTAATCATGAATTCTCCTGGATGGGAGCCCTGTCCCAACACCTCTAGCCCATAAAAGGTATCAGTACATCAAAGAAATAAGTCTATCTTGAACCTCTCTAGATACAGACTACAAATGTGTCTCACAAGCCAACAGAATCAAGGGCAGTAAATGAAATGCTTCTCTCTCCTGGAGCTCTAGGTGAGTAATGACTGAATGCTATGATAAAAATTCACAATCTAAAATTTTAAAATAGCAGTATTCCACTGGCCAATTGGCACTGGGTCATACTCTCCACCTTCCTGGTTGGAGAACATACAAATGTTAAATTTATGAACAAGCACGTTTTATTATTGATAGTCTTCATTGACATCTATCTTCTTACCTGAATATGTACAACATATTAAGCTTTCAAATTTCAAAAATTGGAAGACTTCCTGGAAGATAGACAAGGAGAGGGAACCCAGTCCTAGATAGAGACACAAAAAAAGCAATTTGTCAATTTAGTCTTTCATGTCAAAAAAGGTAGCAGGATTAAAATCATGATTTTGTGGCAGTATATGACAATGTCATCATGTTGTTTTGAGTGATTCTCAGTATTGAAGACCACCCTGAAATAAACTATGAGATAGCATGGGATGCTGTGGTTCTAGTGAGGAGGGACAATATCCAGATCAGAACGATATTGCCCCTGTAGCTTAGCATGTGGGGCAGGAGGCTGAGCTGGCCCCTGAAAACGTTTGATAGCAAGGTCATAGCCCAGAGAATCCTGTATGGCATAGTAGAAAGAAGTAGACTTAGATTTGATTGTAAAATACAGTGCGTGGTGATGCTAAATCAGAAAGGAATTCCTGAAAACCAACCCCCACCCCTTGCTCAGACAGGAGATTAAATATTGCAGTTTGAATAGGGTTCCACTGAAGTCTGACAATATTAAATTAGTGGACTGGCATGAAACATGTAGTAACATGTGCTTTTGGAAAACAACTTCAAACATGAATCCTGACCAGTGAAGTAATTATGGCGATTATGTACAGATACACTGGCCCATGCATACAGTCATGTATGCAAACACACAGAAATCTGAACACGGATAACCAATGACCTTTCTATAGCCAAAAATCAAGTACATAAACGTCAAGATTTCTTTGTGTGGCACAAAGAGATTTGGTACAAGAAATAAACTTTTAAAAGACATGTAAAACAAAGATGAGGGCTGGGACGCAGTCTCCAGCATCCCAGTGTATCAGCCAAAGAGTGCAGGACCCTTTTGCAGTTTCCTGATCAAGTCTTCAGCTCTAAGTGAGCAGGCACCTGTACAGGTACAGGAGAGTCCCTTCCTTTCACAGCATGTATTTTTAGATCACTCTAATCTTTTTCCAAAACTGTTCACATTAAGTCACAACCTGCCTTCTTGGAAATGGCACCAGTTGGTTAAGTTTGGACCTTTTAAGAACAAAGAAAAGTGGGTTTGTTTTCTGTGTGCTGTTGGTAATGAATTTTCACACTTGTTTTCTAATCTAAAAACTCTATTTAAATCACTGATGCATATCTAAGATATTTACATGCTTTGTCAACCTTATTGTCCTTTGCTCTGTTACCAGAATTTTAAAAGAAACTTGCACCAAGAACTTTTTATTGTGCATTCTCTCTGATGTCAGGCACCGTATTTTTATTTAGGGATGCAGTTGTAGGAAGGTCGTGTATGGATAGGATGGAAACAGAAACCATCATGAGATGATTATATGTCAGATAAACATCATTCTCTTCTTCACTGGAATACAATATTTAAGCAATATGAAGTGAAATAGAAATTTTAGGTTGCCCCCTTCACTCGAGCTTCCATGGCACTACTGTCCTTCATATTCATTCTTTGACTATCTGTTATTTCTGTGTTCCCCACCTCTTATCTAAAGGCACTGGACTCCCATAGGAAATCCTAGTGCTGACCAGTCCCTGAGCTAGTGCAACTATAATCTAATCTTTCCCTGGACTGTGAGATATAGAACTAGAAATGATGGGAGGGGCCCATCAGTTCATATGTAAAGAAATTTGAATCTAAGTCTGAAAGGGAGAAAAGGCTCCCAGGATATTTCCATTTTGTGACTTAACAGTATAGATACAGTGAGGCTGATTTGCACATCTGAGCCCAGGAAGAGTAGAGAAAAACTCTTTGAGAGATAGGAAGTTGTCATTACTGCAACAAGTGGTACCTAAGTAATAGGTACACAGGGAGAGGGAGGTAAGCTTTACTAGACAGTCACTAGCATCAGTTTCAGATGTGACTTAGAATTTCACTTCAGACAGCATGGCTGTTGATGTGAAGATCAGACCATTCTCTACAGAGCTCTGGCAATCAGAACCTCAGACCCTTTCTCACAAACAGAAACAGACATGAGTCTTTGTGAGACAGATGAAAGTCAGTACAGTGGAGCAGAGATGGAAGAAATGTTAAGTTATAGTCACCGTGGTATTGAGACTCTCACTGAACACTAGATTCCAAATACAAGACCAGATTCCATGGAAACAGAGTTATATCTACACCCAGGTGTCTATGTAAGACAGACACAATGGAAGTGCTTCATACCTAAGGACCTATTCTAATCTGGAACAAGTCTATCCCTGTAGGCTTAGGGGAATATCAGGCATTCTTCTGCACTGGTCATTACACTAGATATTAAAATATTAAGTCTGAATAAAGCCAACTTCCTAATCTGATTTTGTCAGGGAGACTATAAAATCTTGCATTTTTCATAGATATATTTATAAGAAAATGGAAGACTAAAGATATTATCCAGAAAATAGTTGACATGATATATCAATGAGTCAAAGTGAAAAATCCCCACAAAGAAGCTAGCTTGGGTTATCTTTGGGTTTCCTCCCAAACTAAGGGTTTATTTTATTTTACTTTATTGGGTCTGGGCCACCATTTTATCAAATCTTATCTTGGATTTGTTAAAATCCATTAGTCAAGCGGGCACTACGTACTCATGATACCACTTTGGACACTATTTCAGGGTCACTTTCTGGTTTCTACTTATAACATAAATGATTGTCAGATGGTCCCCTCAGTTCTATCTCTGTCCACCTGACATTTTGAAGCTCAGTTCAACTTTGCCTATTCAGTGTTGTTTCATACACTGTGGAAGAGGTTTAATGTCTGTATCTCTTGGTTGCATTGTATTAAAGCCTTTAGGGATATAGACTTCAGGAATTTTCAAATAATTCTTTCGCTGTTTGTTAAATTGTAGTATCTTATCAATGTCTACATGATAGTTTAGATATAATTGAGATTAGCATGTACAGCATGAGTGGCTAGCATCTAGCATATCACTAAATGAGTATAGAGCAGTGTTAATTTTTCATTATTATGCAGAAAATAAAAATACCCGAGATACTCAGGTGTTTCACTCACAACACCAGGGCATGAAATTCATTAATTCACCCAACAATGTACATTAAGAGATTTTACCCCTCCAATGCTGCACTGTAAGCTGAGGGCACAATGCTAAGTTCATCAGATCCAGTTGGATGATCTTTAAAGAGTACTGGTAAAACACACCAGTGTTAAAAGTACATACAACACAACTCTCAAAATTTAAAAATGCACCACAGCACTTAATCCCCGTCAAATTTATCTTTCTTGTGTTGATTAAAGAAGCATATATATTAACACTTTATCTTTATAATTTACATTTTTCCATTTTTTTGCAAAAGGGAAGTAGTGTGGTACTCAAATATATCCCTTGCAGCATTGATCCAGCATGGTGCCAATATTGACCTTCTAATACAGCTTTAATGAAAAGGTGATGTGTGAACTTGGTACAAGTTCTCATATTAAGCAGAAGTGAGACTTATGTCAATCACTGATTTCTTTCTTTGTGATGAACTTTTTCAGATGTTTTTCATATTTTTACCACAAGAGTTATTAACCCTTAATGGCAAGGAATTTGATCCATATCCCACTGCTGCAATTCATCAATGTGTGTTCATGGTTAATTATATTTCATAAGAATATATTAAAGAGAAAAATCAGCTGTTTCACACAAAACAAAGTTATTTACACCTTCTACATGCGCTGGATGAAAGTAACAGTAACACAGCGCTTGTCAGTATTATTAACACTAACATGCATAAGGGATGGCATGTCTACTTTAACTCACTGTGTTGTAGGGTACACAGAAACTGAGCTCTTGAGGAATAAAGAGAGGAGAAACATTTTCATTGAATGCAACAAATTCTAGAGAATATTGATGAAAGAACTTTGGATTGGAGAGAAAAGAACAACTCCTCCTGGGAAGTCCAAAGGTGGGTTGATAAGTTGACTGAAAATGTGCCATACATCTCAAGCGTGATGACTCATAAAGAGAAACCAATTTGTTATGAGTAATTTCCCCTTAAAATTACAGACCTCCATTCTTTTTCATCTCTTAAGTCAGGTGACAGTGGTGTGAACAAGGCTTCCAAAATTAGTGCACAACCTCATTGAACAGAAGGCCAAAGATATGCAGAATGGGACAACCATGTCATCTCTGCCTGCTTAGCCCTGGAACTTAATAGACAGGAATGCTGGGCCTCATAGAGAGCAAAAGAGAAGACTAAAGAATTCTATGTGCATTTTTGCATGTTGATATTTCATTTATTTTGCTTGATGTTTGAAGTGCTTAGAATCCAAACCAAATACTCTATTGGCAAGATGAACACCAGCCCTACATTTGATCTTTAAAATGCAGTTTCCTAGTTAGTGCATTTGGACACAAACATCTGTTCTGTTAGCAAGGCAAGAAATCAATTCTACTTTCACAAAAGTAAGCATCAGATTCAGGGACTGACAAAGGTGGCTAGAGTTCTGGAATACACAGGCAGTAGAGCTAAAGTTCAAATAAATGTTCTATTATTCTAATCCACTTATTTCTATAATAATGAGAAAGACTATTATTCAACAGATGTACCTGAGCATGGAAATCAAAGTGCCTGGCTCAAGGAATGTTTAGATAGTGATCTTCATTGCGGGCACTAAGTTAACCCCTGCTGTTTGTGAACATAAAAGGCTATGGATAGGTTCAATGCCACTTTAGAAGAAAGATTCATTTTGGTGGGCTTTTCAGATTGGCCACAGCTGGAAATCATCCTTTTTGTTTTTATTTCAATTTTTTATTCCCTAACTCTCTTTGGTAACACCACCATCATAGCTCTCTCTCGAGTTGACCTTCGATTGCACACCCCCATGTACTTCTTCCTCTCACACCTCTCCTTCCTGGACCTCTGCTACACAACCAGCACTGTGCCCCAGCTCCTGATCAACCTCCATGGACTTGACAGGACCATCAGTTATGGAGGATGTGTGGCCCAGCTGTTCATATCTCTTGCTCTGGGATCCACTGAGTGTGTGCTCTTGGTGGTGATGGCTTTTGACCGCTATGCTGCTGTGTGTCGTCCACTGCACTACACGACCATCATGCACCCTGTTCTCTGCCAGGCATTGGCTATTGCTTCCTGGGTAGGAGGCTTCCTGAACTCTCTGATTCAAACAGGCCTCATGATGACCATCCCACTCTGCGGCCACCGACTGAATCACTTCTTCTGTGAGATGCCTGTGTTCCTCAAGTTGTCCTGCAACGACACAGGAGAAACAGAGACCAAGATGTTTGTGGCCAGAGTCATAATCTTGGTCTTCCCTGCAACATTAATTCTTGGCTCCTATGGACACATTGCTAGAGCAGTACTAAAGGTCAAGTCAATGGCTGGACGCAGAAAAGCTTTTGGGACATGTGGGTCCCACCTCTTGGTAGTTTCTCTGTTTTATGGCTCAGCCATCTACACATACTTGCAATCCAAGAGCAGCTATTCTGAGAGCAAGGGGAAGTTAGTTGCCCTTTTTTATACTATCATCACCCCCATGCTCAACCCTCTGATCTATACCCTGAGGAACAAGGATGTGAAGGGGGCTCTGTGGAAGGTACTAGGGAGAGACACAGACTAGGAGAAAGAGAAAAAACAGGACTACTACAACTTTCTGTGATATATCTCACATTCTTAAGTCTATCTTGTTCTACCAACCAAGAAATAGCCTGCAGCAAGAAAGCACAATTTAGTTGCTTTCCTCTTTGGGAGCTGGAAGTCAAGATCTTTTTAACTTCTGTCTCTGTTAATGCTTACAGTTTTTACAAGAAAGTAATAAAACTTGACTTATCTCAAACATTGCACAAGAATGCAATACCCCTTTTCCAAAGCCAGTGATTCACAAATACATGTTGTGCAGATGCTACTTTGTTCATAAGCATAGAACATTGCTCACTGCAGTGTTTCCTAATTAGCCCAGCATGCTCTCGTACCTCAGGGTTTAGGTTCTCAGGTCCCTTCTACCTTTCTAGTCTTTTAGTCTCGGTTACTACAGAAATAAAAGGAGACTGTGGCAAGAAGTAAGTCATCAAACATGACTTTTAAATACAATTTCATTTAGTTTAAAGAAAATACAAAAATCTGTAAAAACAGCACCAAATAAAAGCATCAAAATCTACTCAGATGGGCCACAGATTTGTTTCTTACCATAGTAAAGATACTTCCATTGAAGAGAGAAGAGAATAGAAATGAAGAATAAAACAGTAAACATTGAGAAAGTTGTACAACAATAACAAAAGAAAGGGTAGAGTAACGCGGGAGTAAAAGAAAGAGGGAGTAAGGGCAGAGATGAGATAGTGAAGAGATGTAGAGACGGGCAGGCTTCAGATTCTACCACACCTGTTTCTTTTCATGTACTTAAATGGGAGTTCATCAAAATTGTAGATATCCTTGTAAATAGCTTTAAAGTTTTAGTATCTTTCATGCTGGATAAACATCTTAAGTCCAACAGCAATTGCTACTTATGTAGTCTTAGAAATATTTTACGCAAATAGTTGACAGAGTTAAATATACTCTCTAGTAATCCATGATTAAACTAAGCTTTACTTTTTTAAGAAATAACTTGCCCATGTTTCTGTGACATGAACCTGGGACAGGTTTTGTAGCCCTAATCCAACCCATATAACTGCACTTCATGATTCTCCTTTTCTGAGAAAGGATCCCCTCCCCATCCAAGGTTTTCCCCAAGGTTTGGGGTACTGAAGTTAGTGAATCACCATGCTAGAAATTGTGCTAGTGACTGTGCTCAGTGACTGTGTCACTGAGCTGTATGTCCCGCCAGCCTTGAGAGTAAAAGCTTTATCATAGAGGAGTGAGCTTGGAAAGGAATATAGTTGGAAGGGAAAGGAAACATGAGCTGAAAGCACATCACAAGTTCTCCCTGCTCTATTCTGTCCTGGCTCCTGCATTCTTCTGAAATGTGAACATTCTGCCACCAGTGGGAGTGTTTTT